TGCGAGTTCGGCCTGGTACTGGAGCTTCGTTTGCATAACTTGTAATGTTATCGCTGGGGACTTTTTCAGCGATGCATCTTGTTATGGTAACTTCATGGTGCTCTCCCTTATGCCATTCCTCATTGCTCTCGGGTTTCTATAATACCATGCCCGGGAAGGGGCCTTGGCTGCCCAGTCAACATGTGCTGATGTGTTTGCCGTTGCCTTTTTTTCACACAAGCTGGGTATGTCACACAAGCCGTCAGATGCAATCGCTGGAGCTTTCTTCAATCACAGATTCCTCTTGCTGTCCTGGAAATCAATGTATTGGCGCTGTCTCGTTACATTTGCCCAATGGCTCACGGGATTCTAGTTTAACGTGCCAGGGTGAAAACCTGGAGTGGCCAAAATTACTCGGATATAGTTTTGACCGGCCGTGTTCCGTGTTCATGTGGAATCCAACAACACCTTTGTCTCGTGTGCTTGGGCATGGCTCACTGCTGGTCAGAGTACCATGCATGGTGCCACGTTTGTACTATATATGCTGGGGGCGTTGTGCTCGGTGGTGGGTTGGGGGATGTTTTCTCCGATGTGGATGTGGCGCCGCGGTTTCTGCACATGCCTAAGCTTCCTGCGTGGGCTTCACCTTTTGCTTTGGCGTGTTTCCCACGTAGTCGCCGCGGTGCTCATCGAGTCCAGGGGGTGGAAATTTCAACTCGCTCCGCGACTGGTCTCATCATTATGATATCAACTTCTCCCACCCCCACCCCCACATCTTCCCCTTGCGCGCGCGGGCCCACGGGTCGCAGGATTCAGGATGGCTCCTCACCTCTCTCGTCTGTACAGTATGAAGCACTGCTGACGGAAGGCAGGCGGCGGCGGCAGCCAGGTTGGCTGGTTGGCGGGGTGGGCGGGTGGGGCTGTCTGGTAGGCTGGCTAAGGCAGTCGGCTTCGATGATGTTTCTGCTTGAACGCGAACTCTTCTACACGTCGGTCGGAAAAAGAAGATAGAACACACTAAGTAGAAAGGCTGATTAAATAGGTTGAGTTCAAGCCCTCCCAGAGAATAACAAGACACAGCAAGATCATTTCATTTCTTGAAGTAGGAATGCGCTAGAAGTTGATTGGGATCTCGTAATCCAAGAACACCTACTTGCACCGACCGACATGTACTTGTGCGACTGCGTGAGTGCCCGAGCCATGGCAATTAGTAGGGGTTATGAGCAGCACACCGTTGCACCTGATGTGGCAAGGACAAAAGACAGCACAATGGCCGCGGCAAGGATCAGCGAGCAGCCGCAGCCACTCCTCACACTTCCGACTGGCCCTGACAGCACTGCAGACCCGGAATCTCTCACGCTCTGTCAAAGAAAGGCGCCAAGCGTCTACGAAGTGATCGACTCCGCTCACGCGACCTGACTGCTCGGCAGTTCTACCAGCGGCGGCGGACCGGTCAGCCAGGGATGGACAGCCCGTCCAGCTCGAGAAGAGGTTCATTGCCCGCACGCTCAGCAGCCATGACTCCACTGCACCAAAATCCATCAACGTTTACCCATAGGGCCCCGTCAACGAACGATCTTTGAACTCAATGGGGGGGAGCGGCCGCCGTTAACATACACATTATCCCAAGCAGGGGCACCGCTCAGCGGCCTGCTTAGGATGATGATGTGTGTGTGTGCGTGTGTCAAGCCAGGCCCCGTAAATGTAAGTAGCCCGCGGTGCAGGCAACAGGGCAGCAGGCGCTGCAAGAAACAGGGCACCAGGAACCGGATCTGGGCATAAAGGGACTGCTTTGAATGCGGCACCAAGCATCTGGAACAAGAACGCATGCAATTTGCGACGACTCTCGTTTCGAGTGCATGGTGAAGAGGGCTCAGCCATTGTCAGGGCCGTTGAGCATCAAGGAGCTACAAAGCAGTCGTGAATTGGGCAAGCGCAGCAGACTTGAAACACTTCGACGCAAACAACACGAGCGTCATCCGAGACTACTGTGGACTTCACTTCACGGTTCGCGGAGTCATCAGCGGTGTGCACGCGAGGACTGAATCAGGGTCAGCCCAACCAAACGATGGCAACAATGCATTCGGAAATGCGACCTACGAATAGATTGCGCAAACGGCGTTGGCCTACACGGCAGCGAAGGTCTTGGGGAAGAAGGAAGACAGAGCACGCGTTGACTGCGCTGGACGACATCACGATGCTCCCTCTACCCTGCATCGATTGCAGCCCAATTCCCACCATGCCCCCTCACTCCAGCCGACGCTTGACCGCTGGAGTCTGTGAGCAAGCAAGCCCTCCAGGTCGACGCGTCGCGCCCCGCTCAGAACGCCCCGCTGCTCGACAAAACCGTCTGCAGCCGGCGGCGGCGCTCGTCGACGCGCGCATGGGGCGAGGGCAGGCCCCACCGGGACGGCCTGTGCGGTTGAGCTGCGGGGCGGCATCGCCGAGTCGTCTGCTCGGTCGGAAGGCACACTCAGATCTCACGGAGGAGGGACCCCCCTGCTGCCCAGAACGAGGGAAAGGGCTGACGTGTGCGTGTGCACGCGTGTGCGCGTGCGCGTTCTGCGCACAGCGCCACTCGGAGGGGGAAGTGGCTCCGCATGCCTCTTCCATGCCCCCCCCTTGCCTCGCTCCCCTGTCCCCTGCTCCTCGCTCATCCCCCCTCGTGGTTCCAACTAAGCTGAAGTCGGGCGTGTCCCCCTACAGGGAGATTTTGGGCGAAAAACGAAGAACATTCAAAAAATACCCGAAAATGGTCAAAACATATTTTCAAAAAAAGCCCCCAGGCTATTTTTGGATTAGTTTTGTTACTATTTTGGGGGGTACTTTTTTTTCCGTCGACAATCCCCCTGTAGGGGGACAGGCCCGACTTGAAACTAAGCTCGCTCTCCCCCCCCTCCCTCCGCCTCTACTCCAGTCCTGCCCTGCGGGCCCTGCACTTGCCCGCGCGTGGGGGGGCCCAACTGTGCTCCAAGCCGACCGGCGCCCCCGCCACCACCACCCCGCCCCTCGTTCTGCCCTCCCTCCGCGCACCCCGGCAGCGGCGCGGAGCGGGGCGGCCAATTCCCCCACCCCGCTGCAGAAGGGTTAAGTCGGGCCTGTCCCCCTACAGAGAGATTTTCGACGAAAAATAAAACATACCCACAAAAAAATCAAGCAAATAGTCCAAAAATAGTCTGGGGACTATTTTGGGGGTATTTTTTTGACTTTTGGGGGTATTTGGGGGGTATTTTTTTGACACGCCCGACATAAAAGAAGGGGCGCGGGCCCCCCTGGTGCGCCTCGAAGGCCGCGTAGCAGAGGTCCATCTTTGCCTCAATCGTGTCCGTCTCCGAGAAGAAGGACAGCGGGAGCAGCTGCGGGGGAGGCGTGAAGAGCGGCGGAGGAGAGGGAGCACCGAGAAATCCGCGCGGACCTCCGAGTCTTCATGTTTATGACATTCTTCGCAAGGCTGAACCTAAGCGATGTTTTTCGTTTGCGTGTTATGTTCGTGTTCCCTCGTTTTGTCTTTCATCCGCCTTTTTACCGCAAAATGAAGTCGAAACGAAAACGGCCCCCGAAATCGCCCAAGACACCGTTCAGGTCCACTCCGGATTCTTCGCCCCCCCTGGCTCCGGGGCCCCCAAAGGCGGGGACGCCCCGAGGCATCAGGGCCCTGGAGCGCCCAAGACGGCTGCAGCCGTGGGCCGAGACGTGCTGCACTGCTCGCTCCCTCCGGGTGGCAGGCTCGGAGCCCCAGGGAACCTCAGAGAGGGAACGAGGCGAGGCCCCTTCAAGGGAGCCTCAAAGAAGGAACGAGACCCCTTCGAGGGAACCTCAAAGACGGAACGAGGCCCCTTCGAGGGGGGGGGGACCCCCTTCCGGGATCCCCCCCCCTTCGAGTAAACACCGACGTTGCACACAAGGGGCCCCCTTGCGTGCAACGTCGGTGTTTACTGGAAGGGGGGGGGGATCCCGGAAGGGGGTCCCAGGGAGGGTCCCGGGTCAGCATACCACCCTCCCGGGGCCCATGGCTCGCCCACTCCCTCCCGTTTCCGTCGAGGGCCGAGGCCTCCAGGGTCGGCGGCACCGGCCGTAAGGCCTTGGCAATAAGAAACGCGGCCCCTTGTGTCCACAAGTTGAACTTCGCTGTCCAATCGAGAACCTAAGGAACACCCAAGGCAGACTGTGAAACAATCAAGGAGCACGGATCCCCTCCCCCCACGAAAAGGGTGCCTTCTTCAGCGCCCCGACTGTAATGCATTGGTTCAGGGGGCCCTGACACCTTCCTGTGCTCCTTTTTGCCAGGAGGGCGGATGTGTCGCGACGGCGACCTGTGAGGAGCCGAGGTGCTCCGCCGGATGCGACGCGCGCCCGAGGGTGACTTGGTGGTGAGCGCCCCCGGAGCAGTCCTCCGCCAGGCCTCTGGCGGCACGAACCAGATCGCGACGCTCGGTTTTCCTTCATCTCGGCTTAAGTCGGAGACGGACAGGCCCGAGTTAAGATTAGATGATGCTCGCTCTGGGCGGCCCCTGGATTAGCAAAATATCAGCCTCGGGCTGGATTCACTCCCAAGCCACATCTTGGGCCAAGTCCCTCCTCCACGTACCCCGAAGTCTGGCCTTGGGGCCACCAGGGAGCTCGAGCTGAGAAACCGGTCCCCTGGAGGGTGTCGAGAGGTCCGGGAGCCGATAGCAGATCCTGACGTCAGACGCGTGGGAGTGCTATTCCCACCCTCCCCTTGTCTGCTCCCCTCTCCTCCCTGCTCCGCTCCTCCTCCCTGCTCCCCCCACCACAGATACTCATTGCGATGACTACTGTCCCGTCTCTCCGGGCTACGTGCGGAAAACAGCCCGCTCTCTCCGTGTATTGCTTTTCGCACACCCACAAACAATTTCGCCAGCTCATAAGTCATACAGAGTCTGTCGTTAAAAAACGTTTTCGGTATTCCATAGTGGTGCTCCCGCTGCAGCGCGCGCCTCACCTTAGGACCGGCGATTTGCACCCGTCGTTCAAAATGGCGCTCTCGGCCCAATCCTAGACCCCCGACGTCGTGTTTGTTTGTTTCTGCAACCCATTCCCCAGGAGCGCCTGTGCATCCTGAGTCGTTCTCGGACGGTCCCGGGGGCCCGGAAGGGTCCCCGGATACCGAAAATAGGGGAACAAATCCCGCCGTGATTTCTGTCACACTGCGAAGGGGCCTGGGGCGCAGGCCACTTGTCTGGATCCGAACCCTTCCTCGTCGTCGTCTCCCCGCTCCCTCCCTCTCTCTCGCCTTCCCCTGATCCTCCTGCTGCCCCCCGCCCCACTCCTGCCAATGCTGCTACTGCTCCTCCTCGTCCTCCGTCCTCCTCCTCCTACTCCGCCTCCGCCTCCTCCTCCTCCTCCTCCTCCTCCTCCTCCTCCTCCTCCTCCTCCTCTTCCTCTTCCTCCCCCATTCCTTTTCATTATAAGCAACTTCTCCCTGTCGCGCCCCGAGGCCTAGGGCGGGCCAGGCGTTTCGCCTGAGACCTCCTCATCATTGACGGCCCTGAAGCTTAAAACTTGGCAACAGCCTCACAGATGGAGGGCGGGTGGTTTTCAAAATAGGGCTCTCACTTGAGTGCCGCGCACATGTGTTTTCAAAAAAATGCAAGAGCTTCACGGAATGAGGGCGGGTCGTTTTCAAAACGTGGCGCTCGCCTTAGCGCTGCGCGCATCCGAACTACACATACGCAAGAGCTTCATGCATTGAGGGCGGGTCGCTTTCAAACTGTTGCGTTCGCCTTAGCACCGCGCACATCCGCTCTGTATTTGCAAGAGCGTCATGGATTCAGGGTGGTTCCTTCTCGAAATGTTGCTCTCGCTTCAGCGCCGCGTATTACAACTGTGCAATAGCTTCACGGATTGAGGGCGGGTCGTTTTCAAAATATGGCCCTCGCCTTAGCGCCGCGCACATGCGTTTTATGAGTTGCAAGGGTTTCACGGAATCCCATGATCAACGTACCAGAAATTTGGTTTTGGAAATATTTCGGATCATGAGGGTGCAACAGGTGCGATGGTTCGCAGTGTTGAAATCCCAGGGAAAGGCGTGCTGGCGCGAATCAGGATCGCCAAGACGCAACAGTCAGGTAGATCCGTGGCGCTGGCATCCCCGGAACAACGTTTTGGCATGCTTCAGGGTCTTCAAACGGTAGTCTTCCAACGAGGAAGCTCCCACTTTGGAAATGAACCGTTGTAGGGGCCTATGAAGAGGGAATTGAACAGGAGTGTTTATTCCAATATCGTTGATGACTCTTGGGTTTACACTAGTCCTCCGCCTCCTCCTCCTCCTCCTCCTCCGTGTCGCCGATTATCCAGCTCAGCTGCAACCTTCTCTTCCTCCTCCTCCTCCTCCTCTTCCTCCTCCTCCTCCTCCACCTCCTCCTCCTCCTCCACTTCCTCCTCCTGCTCCTCGTCCTCGTCGTCCTCGTCGTCCTCACCTCGTCGTCCTCGTCCTCCTCCTCCTCCTCCTCCTCCTCCTCCTCCTCCTCCTCCTCCTCCTCCTCCTCCTCCTCCTCCTCCCCCTCGTCGAATGTACAAAGATACCTTTTTTTCCGTTTGCGGTTAGCACGCTGGTGTCCTGTTGGGGGCGGCCCATGTCCGCCATGACACCCTTCACAGAAAAAAAAACAGCGCCATGGCGCCTAGCTTGTCTCTGCTCCCCTTGCTGCGGCCCTCTCCTCTCTGCTCCCTTCCCCTCCTTTTCCCTACCTCCCTCCTCCCTCCTTTCCCTCCCCTCCTCCCTCATCCCCCTCCCTCCTCCTCCTCCTCCTCCTCCTCTTCCTCCTCTTCCTCCTCCTCCGCCTCATCCTCCTCTTCCTCCTCTGGGGTCGGGGAGCGCCGCCCGTGGCGATCCCGACGCTCCCCGGGGAAGGCTCCCGGCGAGGCCACTCCTGCCTCCAAGCTGATGGCCTGCTCTGCCCGCCGTTGCACGGCAGGCTCGCGTCGTGACGACCAGCGCGTTGGCTTCTGACACCTCGCGGACCGCTCAACGTTGAACAGTCGGCGGCGCTTCGATCGCCAGATCGCTCCGTGCTGGCCGGTTCCTGGGCCACTGGCGGCGATCAACCTGGGACGCCGGCGCAAGGGTCGTCGCCACGTCGGCACGACACAAACCTACCGCACCTCACCTCCGCCCCACTCTTCCCTAGAACGATAAACATCGTCATGTGCATAAAACATCGGAAGTCCGCGCGGATTCCTTGGGCCGTCACTGGGCCTGACCCCCTCACTGGCGCGCAGGGTTCAGCGCCGATCCAAGAGATCCGCGCGGACCTCCAGAAATCGATGGTTAAACCGATATTTGTTCCTTCGACTCCCCCTGTCTCCCTTACTATCCACTTTCGAGGTAGAGATTTACACATGTATCCACCGACTGTGGAACTGGTGTCCTGCCCGGGGGGCGGTGGATCGGAGGCGAGGGGGTGAGATCGCAATGAAACAGAGAACCTCCCAACGATAAATCGGTTTCGGCTCCGTGTTCGTATCGCGCGTACAAGCGAAGCGAAGCTGCGTTGGCGGGCGAGAAGAACGAACCCTCACTTACTAAGGCGCCGCCGGCACAAAACACCGCCCCCTCCCCGGGTTGTATGGCAGTGGCCAAAGGTGTCCCGCCGTGGTGTCCCGAAGTTGTTCTGGTGTTCCGCAGTGTGCCGTGGTGTCCCACGGCCGCCCGTGGTGTCCTGTGGCGCGTCCCGTGGTGCCCCGTGGTGTTCCGTGAGGTCGATAGTGACATCGATAATGATAAAGATAGTGAGGTCGGTAATGGGATCGATAGTGAGATCGATAGTGATACTGGTTCTTCTTGAAATCCCCTGGGCTTTTTATGCTTTGTTGCTACTACTGACAGAAACAAACGTGTTGCACGTTGGGCTCTTGACAAGCCGAAACCGAGAAAGGAGAAACAACTAGTAAATCAAACAATCGGCACGTTGTTGTTTGTATTGCTTTTGATCGGCCGCGTTGCTTCACGTGCTCAGGCCCGTCGCTGTAGACCTCATTTGTTCAACGATTGCTGCGTTCTTGTCACAGGTCGTTCCTTGTCTTTGTGGATGCCACGACAATGGACACCCAAACAGTCATATCATTGAATTTTGAATGTGTTTACAATGTAGAAAAATGTTCTAAACATGTTTCCACCATGGTTTCTACATTTAAAATCATGTTTAACACATGCTTTGGACATCTGGAAATTGTTTGGCAACATGTTTCCTCTCCATTGATCGCCCCACACAACCTTGTCTTCACTGTCGACATCGCTCCCGCTCTCCTGCTCCTGCTCCTGTCGCCCCCCGCGCTCCGCACGCGGAGCGCAGAGCCACAGAGGCCCAACACACGCCCCGCCACTAAGCGGCAATCAACTGATCGGAACACGCTTCAACAAAAAAACTGGTCTCACAACGCAAAACAGATGAACCGTGCTTCTCGCGATTCGAACTCTCTTGCTGGGACCTGAGAGCGCTACACAGATTATTCCCAGCGCGCCAACTTAAACACGGTAGCGAAACGCCCAGGGCATAGCTAAGAAAAACCAAAACCGTGACATCGATTGTGGGATCGATTGCGAGATGGAGTGCCAGATCGATAGTAAGATCGATGGCGAGATCGACGCTGAGATCCGCCGACCCTGTCGGCGTGTGCGAGAGGTTTGTCTGCTCGAGTCGTCGTCTCCGTCAGCCGTCGTCTGCGTCGCCCCCTTTCCCTGCACCCTCCTCGAGCCTGTCAGCGAGAGGAAAGCCTCGCAATGTCGTAATCGAATCGAAAGGACGCCCCTTCCCTTTGATCCCTCCCCCGTCAGAGGGGGGGGTCCCGGGTCCTTGGGGGGGGGGCGGGGGTCAGATACGCATCCCGTCCTGGGGATCCCCGGAGGCGGTCCCGGGGGGGGGATCAGATACGCACTCCCCCTGGGGGTCCCCAGGCTGCAATCAGTACCAAACCAAACCAAAAGTGCCCCAAGAGGCCCCCGAGACGGTCCAAGAGGGCCCCCCAATCGCCAAACGATCGATCTAGATCGCCTTCAAGCAAGCTCCCAGGCTGTCCAGGAGACCTTCAAGACGCCCCAAGAGGCCTCCAAAGGCACTCCAAGAGACAAACCTTATTGATGTTCTTTTAAGGAACAACAAGCAAAAGACCTGAGAGGCAAAAAACCTAATAGGTTTTTTACATATTTGGGCGTTCTCACCTTTTGCGCTTCCCGACTTTCCAAGACGGACGCAGAGGTCCTCAAGATCGCCCCCAGGCAAAACATCCCAAGAGAACCCCAAAACAGCCCAAAAAGTTCCAAAACGGCCCAGGAAGCCCCAAGTCGGCTCCAAGAACGCGCCTCAACAGGGAACCCGAACGGACATTTCAAGTCCTCGGCCCCGAAAAGCTCCCAGGTGGTCCCAAGAGGCTACCAAGAGGCCCGAAGAAAGCCCCAAGAGGCCCCTTAGGACACCCGAAAAGGCACCATGAAAGCCGTCACAAGATACCCCGAGAAGCATCCCTGAGGATTCGGGCCCACGTCAACGTCGTCGTCGCCGCCGCCGCCGCCGCCGCTGCCGTCGTCGTCGACGTCCCCCTTCGGGGTCGGCGGCACCGGCCGCAAGGCCTTCGCAATCGATAACTGCGGACTGCACAGAGTCCGTCGCGTGGAGCGCAAACGGCCACGCGGAGGAATGACAAACCACTTCGGACCCCCCCCCAGAACACTCAGCAGCGCTGACCCCATGTCGCCCATCCAGGCGGTCTCAGGGCGGGAACGGCGCACGAGCGCAAAGCTATAAACCACGCGAAGCGTGAGATCGCATTCAGCAAGTCGGACAAGTCCAAACAATAATTGTGAAGGTGACGCCCTCGCGCAAGAAAGCTGCATATAGAGATGCGAAGGCGGCGCCGCCGGCGCCACAGGTGCAAGCCGCACGAACGTGAAAAATGACACTGAGAAATACATCGCTGGGCACGGCATTACCGAAACTCAAATGGATACAAGCGTCGCCAAGGTCGGCAACGCAGTCAGAATGCCTATCGCGATATGCGAACAAAGAACGCAAAGAAACTTGAATGCCTCCTCAGATGGAACGCCATTCACAGCCCAATCCAAAATGGGCTCAAGGCCCCATCGTTCTTCCTTTTGTCTGAAGGGTGTTACTGCTCGTTAACCCAAGCCGTTCGATAGTGGGCGCGGGCAAAGCAGGGGCGGCGGGCGCGCAGCTCGCAGGCCCGAGGAGCACCCAGTGGACACGCCACCGAGCCCCACGCAAATCGCGACCGCCCCTGGCGACACAAACAACTGGCGACCTGTCGCAGCTGCTGGGGGCTCAATCCCACTAGTTGGAGCGTCTGCTCTGGCGCAGCATGGTCTCCTGCAGCGATCCTGCGAATCTTGCCGCCCGCCGCGCTGGAACACTGGGCCGGGGGCGCAGCGGCAGAAACTTCGGACGGGAGCCCGCGCTGCGCAACTCTCCTGGGGGCCTCAAGGGGCCCCGCGACCTCGTCGGCCAAGTGCGAATCCCGCTGTGCATATCTAACACGCGCGACAGAAACTGAGGGGCTCCATGAGGGCAGTGGAACTCGCGACCACTCTTATCCCGGGCGGCGACTGCAAGCGCGCCCGCGCTCGTGAATCGCCCTGGTCGGAGCTCAGAGGGCCGGAACAAGCACCTCGCGCCCCATCCCCGCGACGAGACGGCGACGACGCGCCCCCCGCCTCTGTCTGCCAGCGCCAAGGTTGCGCGACGCTGCTAGCTGAGCGAAGAGCAGCTGGAGCGGAAGGCGGGTTCGAATCCTTCTGTGGTCCTGGGGATTGGCTGGCCTGAAAGCCCAATGCTAACGCGGTCGGCCGCAACTTTGACAGGCGGAGGCGCGCCTGGAAACGGCGCGATAACCAGGCTGGTTGGTTCTGGCTGGTCATCGTCTTTCGTCTCTCCACGACTGCGCTGCGACGACGCCCCGCCCGCCCCCCGCCGCCGCCGCCGCCATCATTTGATTGGACAAACAACCCTCTCCATCTTGTCTCTCCGCATCTCTGGGTAGACCATCATTGGCGCGCATCGCGCATCTCTAACCGCGTTCGGCATTGACGAGCGTCGCACCTCATGTCGTCGCGCGCGTCATTCAGCTTTGGCTAAGCTGCGCATTGAAGCGCCGATTGCGCCCCTGCCCCAGAAGGCAGGGGGCAGCGCCGCCCAGGACCTCGCAGCGATTTGTGACCGCCCAGCGAGGAGCTCCCCTCGCCACTGCGAAGCATCTCTTCATTTGGGCAGCCGCCTCTTCCGAAGCAATGCGAAGGCCCTGCCGCAACGCGCCGCGTGGCCAGCCCAGCGATTGCAGCGCGCTCGCAACCGGCCACCAATTTAAAGACCAGACGCGCGCCGAAATATCAACCGATAACTCCATCCACCAAGGTCGCCAATGCGCCGCCTTATTGCACGCCAAAAATGCGCGTTCGGCCCGCGCGGCGAGCGCCCCCGCGGCGGCCCGCGAGCGAGACCTCTACGATAGCCCACATGGTCTCCGCGCACCTCTATCGGGGAGGGGGGGGGGGCAAGGCCTCTGGCCAGAACCAGAGTCGGCGGCGGGCCCCGCCTGCGAAGACCTTCCCCGCGACGAAAAACGCGCCTCCACGCTGCGCGCGCCGCGTAGAGGTCTCGCAGCCGACCCGCAATGAGACAGGACGTACGCGGGCAAAGGCCCCATCGTCCACATCCAACCGCCCGCGGCCCCAGTTGGGGGCGCCCGCCGAACAAATCGCGGACGCAATCCGCCCCCGCTGTTTCGGCGCACCGCGCGTTCCCGAGGCGCGTGACGGATCGCGCACTGGGCAAAGCAGCAACGAAAACAAGCCGACGCATTTCGGCACCCGCGCGTGCGCACACGAGCTGGCGACCAAAGGCCTCCCACGACCAGCGTCGCACCCTGCTGGAGAACGGCCCAGCGCGCCAAGTTCTCCGAGATCACCGCGCCGCACTCTGCCCGACGCGCCAAGAATTCTGGTTCGATCCGATATCTGGCTGGAGCCTTGGACCTCGCGCTAAGCTCCAGGCCCCGCCCCTGGCCGCTGAAACCAATCAGCCCACGACCTCCTGACCGCCGCCCTCTCTCGCCAGCTCCTCCACTGACAGTGGCGCGGCGTCCCCCGCTTTTGATCTGCGCGCCAATTCAATGTTGACAACGATGTCCAGCCCACTTGATGAACAGCCAGAAACGTAGCGCCAGTGCCCAACGACCAACCCCAAAGGATGTCGCGTCGCACGCGCTGCGTGGACACGCCGCAATCGCGCTGCCTGCATCGCAGCGCGCATAGAACTGTTGCGCGCCATCAGTGACCACGTGCATACTGGTTCGCACAATGCTATAATCTGAAAGCCCTGCGATGGACAGCCATGCATGAACGCCCCGGCGCGCCTGTAGCTCGCGTCGACGCGACAAGCGCGGGCGACGGACCGCGCGCTGCGAGGCCGTCAAACATGGCAGAAGGCAGCGATGCCCTCGCGAAGCGTGCGATCATGGTCCCGCGTGATTCATGTCGCGCGTTCGAGGGAGCCGCCCGCGCACACCTGTCACTCTCTCGCGGAGCCTCCTAAACCTCCAGGCCCTTCCATTCGCAACACCAGCGAAAAGAACCTCAAACGCCGACGCGGTTTGATGCCCACGCTTACACACATCTTTGCACGCGCGCCGTGCTATGCTCATGCTCGCGCTCGCCATGGTCATATTGTGGCGCGCTGGTTTTGCCTCGGCATCACACGACGTGCTCGCGCCCCCGCTCAACACGGTGCACTCGTGCTCGATGACGCGCATGAGCGGCGCAACAGCGACGCTGTTCAAGTCACCAGCGTACATATAAACAAATAGATCGTGACATAGAGCGCGTCCGCGTAGAGTGTGTATATCTGGCTTCGCAGAACAGAATTAATCACTAGCGCTGCCAGACTGCAGCCCGGGACGACCCCTCTTCCCGCGAAAACGCCTGAAGAGAACACGCGATCCCACGTGAGCCCCCAGGACGCCCGATACGTCTGCAATGCGAATGCCATAACTTGCGTGATAAACCGTGGCAAGCCCCTGCTGGGACAACAATCGTCCAAGGGACTGTGGTCCATATCTACCATGTGACGAGGTCGCGGGGAACTTTGGGTGCATGCTGCATCACTTCACCTTGCAATAAGGCCTCGGTTGCCACGTCCGCGGCGGCCTTGCCCTTCCGCAGCGCGAAGATGGCCCCGTTCAGACTGGACGGCCAACATCGGAGATGATCAAGACGAGCACGCCCCAGAGCCTAGAAAGAGATGGGACCGCGCGATGGGCCGATACCCTCCTGCAGGTTTGGACAAAAGAACAACGTACACGTACCGTGTCGTAGAGGGCCATACCGACCACTGTTCGCACATAGGCGTATGCACGTATACTTTTATGTACGTAAATATTTACATGATATATGATAGAAAATGCCCCAAACATGAGCGGGCTCATCCGAGGCAAGCAACCAATGATGAGGTCGAAATACATCCACCCTAACTGACGTGTGCTTCCTGACAGACTTAACGGAACTCCTGAAGCGTTGGATCCCAATGCGACGCGAACCCTTTGCCAGCTTCGACAAGCTTGTCAAAGTCACCGGTGAAACCTGTTGTCCATCATGGGCTCCTCCGAAGCTCCGTTTCAGATGCTCTCCCAAAAGTCCCACTGCACCTCTGCCACGTCATCAGCATGGCTCGAAGGACCTCGCTTCGCACACACCTGTGGCAGCGACCAGCTCTTGGGCGTGGTCCACGTATGCACCGATTTCGTCCGATGACGCAACAAGTACCTCAACCATAGAACACAACCGTCCACATGAAGTTTCACACTAGCGTTTTCAACCAATAACGCATGCCGAGCGAGGCCATCAGCAAAGGCCTTCAACAGTACCGCTTAGCACCTTGGAGGCTGCGCGACGATGCAGGTGATAATGCACACAAGACCTTTCTTGATCTACCCAGCGCCACTTCTGGAGAAGGGAAGAAAGACACGAAAGGAGAAAGCGCGAAGGTACACAAGACTGTTCACAAACTGAGCAGGCAGAGCCGATGCAAGCCTCCAGGTCCGTCCACGTTGTGACAGTGACAGGAACTGCCTCATGGGTTGCCAACTACTTGCTCGTCCAGTGGTGTGTGGTCGTTCTTCTTGACGATCAGCCACAAACCTTCAATTCGATGCAGACTTGTACGAATTGCTCTCGGCTCTTTGGTGCCGACAAGCCTCTGGTGACTGATCGCGCCCCCAGCTGTAGCATGCCTGTGCAATACATGCTGCTTGCCACGCCCTTTGTACATGTCGAAGCACTCGAGATCAAAGGCTGGCAAGATCAAATTCTCCACCCCTTATATCAAACTGGCAACACACTGCATTTACTCGTGCCTGTCGGTTGCCATCATGCTCTGGGCCGTGAGCTGCATCGTCCGCCATGCGGTCGGTCCCCAAAATACCAAGCGCCCCTCGCGCCACAGCATCTCGAGGCACGTCGTCCTCACCGAAATTGATAATCAAATCGATTGCGAAATTGATAGTGAAATCGTTAGTGCGATAAATCCTTAGATCGATCGAGAAAGATCTATTGTGAGATCTATTGTGAGATCGATAGCGAGATCGACTGTGAGAAGAATAATGAGACCAGTTGTGAGATCGACTGTGAGACCGATAGTCATACCGATATTGATATCGATTGTGGGATCGATTGAGCGAGACGTTGGTTCCTTCTTTCCCGAACCTCCTTATCACCCGAAGGGTGAGCGTATAGGCATGGCTATATTTTGGCCCCGGGGGGGGCCCGAACAAACATGTCCGTATCCACCGCCAAATGGGGTCCAGGAAGATCAGACTTCCGGAAGTGAAAATGGATCGATCCCAACCTCGAACCCCCTCCCCCTGCCGTCAAACTCCATCCGGTGGGAGCACTGCAGGGCGGGCACTCCTTGGGGCCCTCCTCTGTAGTGCCCTCCTCGGTGAGCAGGCCCTGCTTCGCCAGCCGCCGGCGCTTCCGGGACTCGGGCTCCTGCCCGA